TGGGACGTGGTGACACACAGCCCTCTCACAATATATTGCTTAACAGATCTATCGCTTTTGCCGCTCAGAAATTTTCACGCAATCGTGCTGCACATTTCCAGTTCTGCGCTCGGGTGCAGTTAGCACTCACCCTACATGCGTACCGCGCCCGAGCCCAACTGAACCGTGATCTGGCCCACCTCTTCCAAGCGAGCCAGGGACAGCTAAATGAACTGACTAGTGATCACACTTGTCAAACGAACCTGGCATTGGGGGTCAAACACGCTCGGGCACGGTTCAGATCGCCTAGTGTGAGTACACTCTTAATCTTGTTCTGTACACACAGAATTCAATCATCAGTGATGAATGAATGTATGATGATCAGACATTTGAATTCTTGCTCAATTCACAAACAAATGACTCTCAAGAACCAGTTCTTGTTGGCAAATCAAAAACATACGACACAAAAAGTGTAGTCTGATTCATGAACATATGACTCTTTTGAGCTGGTCCTTTTAATGAATCGTTCAAAATCCATCCAACCCGACTCATGAACATACAACTATTTTGAGCAGGTCCTTTTAATGAATCGTTCAAAATCCATTTATCCATCCATCCATCCCGATTCATGAACATAGAACTCTTCTGAGGTGGTCCTTTTAATGAATCGTTCACAATCCATCCATCCCAATTCATGAACATATGACTCTTTTGAGCAGGTCCTTTGAATGAATCATTCAAAATCCATTCATCCATCCATCAACCCATCCATCCATCCCGATTCATGAACATAGAACACCTCTGAGCTGGTCCTTTTAATGAATTGTTCAAAATCCATCCATCCATCCATCATACTTTCACACTCCGTTTTTCCCACAGCATAGATAACACCTAAGACCGCTGAAATAAAACCATGAATACCTTATGATCTTTGCTGGGTTTCTCTCAAGCTTTGACACTCGGTGGTGCCAATCTATAACTGCCACCGATCGATCAACCTACTCAAACATATCCGATACCCCTCAACACAATCAACAGACTTTCATCAGATTCGCAGATTCAGAGAAAACAGAGCAAATTAGCTGTTGAGCAGAAATGTTAAGACACGTATTGATATACGTGTTGATATACACCTCCCTGCCATTCTCAAAAACGCTCTCTCAGCGAGAGAACTGGATGGCCTTTTCACTTCTTAGCTCAATGGAGTCTCCAGATAGCAGCCTCTTCTGCACCTTTGACTGTCAGAATCACAGCGGCAAACTCCAATACACTCAGCAGATGGAATCAAATCTTTTCTGCTTCATTTTCTGTCCCACTTAAAGGGCAGGTTGGGCCCCCTAGGGAACATTTGAGGAGGACACAATTGTAAACACTGAACTTTTGTTATTAAAAACGTCAATGTTTTCTCCCGAGGGAAATTGGCAAATGCTTGGTATATCATGAGAACTACAAGTTACAAAACTGGGGTTTTGACAGAAATTGTACCACTGATCAATGTGAGATGGGCCTGTATTGTAAACTATCAGTAAGAGAGAGGACGGAGGTTAAGAAAGGGTTTCATTATTCACTGGTTCACTAAAGCACATGTCCCACAATGCATTGCAAAGGACATTTAGGGACTAAAGAACAAACAATGAATGCTGTTTTATCGCAATGTAAACAGCTTTGCTGAGAATCTAAGATCGATAGTGCAAATTTTGCTTCTGAATAAACAGCCAAAGAGTACACTAAATATAAACAGCTCAATAAGATTGATTATCACACATTTTTACGGCAAGCAGCAAAATGATTAAATCATTAATTTGATCATAACACAGTACAATATCCATATATGTTCTTAGTTTTGCCTTTTTTCCGCAAAGTTTTACCAGGAAAAACACAAAAATCTAGTGTTATTTTACTCTTAAATTGAACCCTATTTTTTTTTAACATGAATTAAAGAAGATTAGGTTTTAAAACAGTTAGACCTATATAATTAGATGACTATTCATTTTTAAATGAATAAATCTATAATATATCCCTCAAAATGCATAGTCAAAACTTTAGCACAAGTCATGTACCAAAGTTTAATACTTAGGGTTAGTGGTTTGTTCAGATCTCTTTATCCTAGACTGTTTTAGCAAACACCACTAATAAATTAAGCTAATTTAATCTTCATGGCCTCACTGATAATAAGAGTTATGAATAAAAGATGAAAAGGCATACTTTAAAAAGCTCCAGTAGAATTAGTATTCTCCTCGTACAAAACATGCTAATATACACCTGTCACTGTTAGAAATGGTTTAAGATTTCAGACATTCGTTATTTACATTCTCCAGAAGCGTATTTAAAAAATGTGTCAGCAAACTAGATTAAGCTAGTTTAACCTGCTCTAAAAGGATCACAAGTCATACAAATTAGAAGTTACAAAATCTTGTGGGAACTGTGATTTATGGTTCATGTCATTGCGAAATTGTCCACAACAGCAAAACGCAATTAGTATGCACCCTTCGCTTTAGCCCCAAACAAAATTATTAATCATGATACCAACAAACCATCACTTCAGATCAGTGAGCAGCTGGTGTAGGGGACATGACCACCATCGAACGCATATGCTGCGAAACTACAGAACAGCCCGGAAAGCAAGACTTCATCCATTTGGATCCAAATTGAATGATGTGAGGGATTCTCCCTCCTGACTGATGATTCAGAGATGACAAGATCTGAATCCTCTGAGGCCCTCCGAAATACTTGAAATACATCAGATCTGATTTCTCTCTGGGAACCACGCTTGAGGTTGTTGATTAGGATCAAATTAATTTTTGTGTACTATTGCCAAGTGGATACACATTAAGAAAACTTTAAAGACATCTGAATTCTAGCCAAATCAAAGAGAATGACTACACTGAACAAGAAATAGTCTGCTTGAAATATAATTTTGCAAATTGAATGCTAGTATCTCCTGGTGATGCCTAAATGGGTCAATAATACCTGGAAAAAGTTTTAGAATTTACCAGCTAATTGACCACAGATCCAGGGTTTTGAGCCAATCACTTAAGCCATACATGGCACATGGTACAGTCAAATCCATTGCTCCACATGGGATTTGTTTTACAATTGTCCAATTTTTTACTGGCAGCTGTCAGGAGCTACCTAAACAAAGCTAATGTGAAGTAACACTGCTCTTAGGCAGAGTATTTTGGTGTTTATGCGTCATAAAATGAGAATCGTTCCCTTTTGGTACGATACTGACAATCTCACACAGAATTGGCCATTTTCACAGAACTGCTGCCTGCGCTTTTCCCTTGAAGAGCATCATCAAAAACCGGCAGACCCTGAACATGAGAGACAGCAATCCATTAATCACAGATGTTATCACTGGCATTTTCATGAACGCTTTTTCTGCAAGTCCTGAGGATTTAAGCGATGCATTAGGTGTTAGCGGTGGCGTTCTGAAATGCAAATCAACTAAAATCCCAAAGAAGCCAATTAGACGCCGCTTTATAATTCATAGAGTAATGAACTTAAAAATCAAAATCAAAACAAACTGGTAAACAAAGCACACCCACACTGAGGGCATTATGCACAGATTCGGATAACAGCGAAACATTACTTAGCCATTTGCGCCTGAGAGTCTCTTAGTCCCGAAGAGCATTTCCTCTGTGGCCAAACCCACTGTTTACACTCCGTTCATCTCCAGACTATAACATTTATATGCCTAGTCATTTAATCAGAAAGATGAGAGATGTTGCGTTATTGCTAATAAAGTTTTATATCCAATTAACGATACAAGTTGCTGCCTGAACCTAAAATGAAATCGGTTAGACAGGAAATAAGCAAGATAAAATCTATCCAATTTGATTTATGATGCACTAATGTCAGATGGACGCCACAGGCACACAAGCAAACTGCATATGACAGCGGCCAAGCTCTGACCTTCATGGGGAAGCTGTCAATAAGCAATACAGTCTAACAAATGAAAATACGGACATTTGACAGTGGCTGCAGAAGGGAAGGAAGTAAGTGGACAGCTGCAGCAGAGATGTGATTCAGTTATACTTTTGTCATGGGTAACTGCCATGGTAACTACCAATCTTCACGCTCGTGTCCTCTATGTGCACTTTGCATCGTTGTCAAATTCAATGCAAAATTCAATGCGATATTTTTTTAGCATGTCAGCATGAAATGGCATTCCCAAACTGTTTTCTTCTTTTCGTTAACAGACATACACTACTGTCAAAGTTTAGGGCCAGTAAGTATTTGAAAAATAATTTGTTTTTTGAACATTAAAGCATGTCAACATATTCTGTTACACCAAATACACCAAATAATGATCTTTAAAATAGCATCATATGACCCCTTTAAGGAAATTAATACTTCAATTCAGCAAGGATGCATTGTGCTGAGCAAAAGTGTTAGTAAAGATATTTATAATGTTATAATATTTATATTTTTCAAATAATCCTAAAAAAATGTATCAAGGTTTTCATAAAAATATTAACCAGCACAACTGTTTTCAATATTGATAATAATAAGAAATGTTTCTTAGCACCATATTAAAATGATATCTGAAGGATCATGTGACACTGAAGGCTGGAGTAATGATGCCGAAAAGTGCCATCACAGGAATAAATGACATTGTAACATAAATTAGAAAACAGTTGAAATATTTATTCAAATAAACGCAGCCTAGGTGAGCATAGAGAATTCTTTCACACATATTTCATTTATAATAAAAATCATACCAACCTCAAACTTTTAAACAGTAGTGCATTTTCTTAGAAAACATAAATACCTTTTTGAAGGTACTCATGTCGCTTCACTGTATCAAACCTCTTCAGATAATTAAAGGAAAAGACTAAGGAAAGAGTGAGATATATTAAGACTAGTGCACGATGGGCGGTTCATGCAGGTGACTTTGAAATGTGGCGGGGCATGCAAGTGAGCATAAATTAAAGTGTGGCCATGCAGGTGAGGTGTGGCCACACAGTTTTTATTCACATGCCTCATTCACGTCCCATGCAGAGTGCTGTGCTCAGTACCTGGTGATCTCGGAGTCAGGGAGCAGGCCTACGTGATAGTGAGGGAAGTGGGGGATTGAGTGCATGGGGCTTTTATCAAACTCCACAGGGGAGTAGAGACGGGGAGAGGGGGCGCGGTCACTCAATTTGTTCACAGTGCTGTAAACTGGCTCTGGAGGCCTGGTGTGGGAAAGAAAGAGAGGCAGAGAGCAGAGCAGCTAGGGTTAGTGCGCTGATGTAGACTGACAGAGAGTAGTGACAGACCGATATACAGGCAGGTCATTCCACGTAACATCAACAAATAATTTTCTGTATTTTTTTGACTTGGTTTACAATATAAATATTGAAACATGTCTACAACACATTTAACCCTAGAAGCAAAATTGCATATAATAGTAAAACTTGATTATGTCTTTGAATTCAGTGTTTTCACTGAATTCAAAAACCCATATCGGTCGACCACTAACAGAGAGAGGAAAAGATAGACCAAAAGAGAAAGAGAGAGAGGGTGAAAAACATAGCAGTGGAAGTGGGAGGAACAAGGAAAGAACTGCAAGTGGTTAATTCAACATTTAGCTTTGATAATTAGTGTTACAATTTTTAAAATGGACTATTTCAGTTTCACCATTCTTCAACTCAGCATCTTCAATTAGCCCTCAGATTTTCAATATTTGCTTTTAATAATTAACATTCTGTTAATACTGTCATGCCAGTGTAAAGAGACTCCCCAGGGATTGACATCCAGGGACCTTTCATTCATTCCCTCTGTCTCAATCACTTTTGAACTCTCAAAATTACATATCTGACTGTCGCTGTCTCATTTTACACAAACAATCCAGTCTCTAGGATTCAAAAACAGAATAAGCTGTGGGAAGCGTGTGTTGTGCAGAAGGACATAACTGAACATTCAGGACCAAAACGATGGCTCACTTAAGTCGCTCACCTCAACTGGAAGTGCTGGGAATCAAACCTGTGACCTTCCATCTCATCTAACGAGGGATTTCTGATTAGAAACAGACAACAGGTTAGCATGAAGACAAAACAGACTGCAGTTTATATGAATCAAATGTTAAAATGTGCATTCAAAACAGCTGAAATGTATTCAGTACTTGTTACGTGTAGCATGCAGAAACAAAACAGAGACACCAACAGAATTCAGGACAAAACCAAATGTGACAACACAACTGGGTTTGACACACAAACAGACCAAAACAACCACTCAAAATATTAAAATTTAAATCAGATACACTACCATTCAAAAATGTGTGCTAATCACTAGTCTCTAACATTATCTGCATGTTTCAGTGAGCCTCTGTTTGTGGGTAAAAGACAGCAAGATCTTATTGCGGATACAAGGCAACATTAGACATCTTGCAGATAATGTGAGTAGGATATATTTATGACAGGGTCCTCACCGGACCGTATTCTCTCCTCGCTCTGCGTCGTGTGAGGCTGGCTTGTGACTTGTCTTGAATGGAGATGACTGACAAACACTCTTTTACCTTCTTTACATTCTACCCTTTGTTTTTTTATCTTTAACAGTACTCTTTGTATCTTCTCCTCCCCAATGTGTCTTTCCTCTCTCTCAGTCTCTCACTGTGTTTCTGGTTTCAGCACATTTCTTTAAATCTGCAATTCTCCCCTTCTCCTTGCCCTTAATACAGGGTCACAGCGGGCTAAATAAAACCATGACAAAACCCTTATTATCAACCACGGCACAAACCCTCTGGCACTTCACACTGACGGCGAGGCACAGAGATAGAATTAGGAACAGCCAGAATCACCGACTCACATTATACATATGGAACCACAAACTTAACATGATTTATCTTAGCAGCACACGTTTATAGACAAATACCTTTGATGGCCGATATTTTGATGGTCCAATTATACATCAATTATTATACAGTATAATACATTAATTTGTCGTGTTGGTTAGCCCTGCCCACTGTGAAATCTCACTGGTCTAAAATCTTTCTCTGTATTAAACATCAAATACCATCTGAAGTGTCAGTGTGGACAGACAAATGGCTTGTTAGAAGTAAGAATTTTGGGTGGGTTTAGGACCAGGGGGCCCACTAGGGGGCCTCAGCTAACTTCCCAAAAAAATTTAAATAACATACACTACACAGTTGAAAGTTTGGAGTCTTTTAAAATACATTACATAATATTAATAATTTTTATTGATAGGAATTAATCATTTTTAGCAAGGATCCATTGAATTATTACTATTTCAAATATTATATTGTGAAAATCACAGCCTACTGTACATTGGGGACCAATCAAAAAGTCAAAGTCAAAAAGGCTGAGAAACATTGGTGTCAAGGGTAAAGCTGACTGAACGATGATTTTACATGATCAGCAAAGGATGCTGATGTAAGAACGTGTCCATGACCACATGTACATAACCATGCACAACAGTTTCTCAGAAGTAAAGTCAGAAATAAAAGTCCTTAAGGTCAGTGACAGCTGTTCCTCAGCAAAGCACACAGTTTGCTGAATTACATATTGCATAAGAACTCTCTGCCTACACATCTAATAATCATGAATGTCCAGTTCATTAGAGGTGTGCTTAGTAATAATTGAGTACTGACCCAAGGTAGCACTGCTGAGTGTGTATGTACATGACGCAAGTATGGAATGTTCTACTTCTGCAGCTGTATTATTTATGATGATTGAATGACCAGGCTGTGTGTGTATGTGTGTGTGTTTTTGCGGTCCTATAGCCTCACAGAAATCAGGAAGGGGGCCAACACTTTTTCACACCACTGTATGTGAATCATTTGCAACTGTTTTTAACATTTTTTGTATAACATTATGGTGTATGTTTGTGTGCATGACTTTCCTCGAATAATGCACGGAGATTAAGGCAACATAACCAACTCCTACAAACCCTGCATCTTCACACTCTGTTCCCCTAAACCAAAATGACACATGCACGAACAAAAACATGTCCATTCTCCCCCTGAACATCGGCCTAATGTCACACCTAATTAATTATTCAACTTGTGAGCCATAATATAAGTTTACATTTATTATGCAAATCTACATGAAAAGCCCCATTCCATATTCCAGAGTCGCTGAACTTAAAATAGATACTAGCAGCTACAACATTCTGCCATTCCATATTATAATCTTCAACCAAACCTTTGATTTTCTCTGATTCTCCTGTGGAAAACACAGTAGAGATGAAGGGGCCTGAACTTCCAGATGGGCTTATGCTTCTCCGAACACAAAGACCATGTAAACCTCTTACACAGGAGAGGGGGTTTAATATTTTTCTCTCACCTCTGGGAAAGGTCACGTTCTTTGTTTGGAATGCGTGTTTGCATGCACGTTTAGCATTCATCGTGAAGTTAGGAGTTTTTCACAGCAGAGTGGCATTAACTGTGTTTCACAGTGGGAGACGTTAACAAGGCCGTCTGTTAAAAGTGACAAACATGGTTGAGAAATTACAGTGGCAGTTTTGAACTTGGGTTTTTATTTAGTAACTATTCATCTAAAAATACTCTGGATTTGCAGAAAAACAAATGTGCTGTCTTCCCCAGTGGATTGATGAAGCTTATTGTGGTGAGTGTGGCCATAAGCCAATAAGGCTAGTGAAATTCTGGGATTCAGATTCAGCTACACACATCCAACGCGTGTCCGAGAGACAACAGCCTCAAATACTGTTAAGCAACCATTGCTAGACACTCAACACTGCTATCAAAAGCCTCAGAGGCCCAAAACAACCACAGGGCATATTAACACATCAAGAAGCCAGCCGGCAGAAAGAGCGCGAGACAAGTTAATCAAAACCGAAGTCTGTTATGACGTTGTTTGCTATTCTAAATTCATAGTTCTCATGGAGACTGTTAAGTCCTCAGATTTAGTTCTGTGCTTCAGTTTTCTTTTCCAGAAAACTCCAGGGATGATGCTCAGTATTCACATCACTTGGAGGTTCAGGTTACATTGCAGTGAACCAAACACATCCCCAGCCCTGCAGTCCTGAACATATGTCTCCCAAAACACCCTTAAAAGCAAGCCAGTGTGCAAAAACAAGCTCATGCTGTTGACACACACTGATATCATTACAGATTTAAGAGTTTGAATCAGGATGATCATTCGGTCCTTTTTGTAATAAAAATCTTATGCTGTGGTTGCTAGGGTGTTGTAGGTGGTTCCTTACTGAAAAAATACCACCTCTAAAGCTGGTCGCACACCAGACGAGAAGCGCAGCGCCACGTCGTGTCGTGCCACGTCTTTAAAATTCGAACACATTGTTTTCTATCAGCGTACGCACACCAGCGGTGCCATTCGGCATCTGTCCGCGGTGCCTAGCAAAGTCTCTATGATATTATGTACTGTACTAACCCAGGCTCACTGAAAAACGTGTCTGTGCAAAATTATATTGCATTGCTTCTTGCACATTCCGTACCATTTTCAAAGTGAAATGTCAAATGAATGGTGCTAAAAGCATGTTCAGGTTTATCCAAAACAGATGAATGTGAATATGGCAATGGTTATTGTGATATCGTGGCAGTTTGGAAATGAAATGTCCGGTGACTGGTGCTAAAATGTTAATGCTCTATTGTATTTAATATAATATACTACCTAGATTAAACCCTACTCAAAACATAACCAATAGAGTTAACTAAAGCAAAGTGAAAATAAATATGCATTACTTTGAAGCAACCATTTTGGCTTGCTTCTTGCAACTTTGTGCTTATTTATCAAGTGTTGTATTACTCGGTACTCAGACCTGAGCGCTCCGCAAGTGCAACACTGCACCAGGTGAGCTACTGAGCAAGTTTACTATATTTTTTACTTTTATGTCATAAAATAGTATTGTGCATAGAACTGTGCAAAAATTTTAAATAATTACTAATTCACAATCTGCAGCTGTAATCATAAATTGCGTGAAAAGGAACAAAAATTGTTGATGTTTTACTTCCACTCAGATGGAAACTGCAGTGAATTGTGCTGTGTATATATAGGCACGTTTTCGCAAAAATGTAGGTAGAGCCTATGTTGTTCTGTACATTCAAAACAAACACGGACCACTAAAAATCCAGGAACGTAAAAACAGTACAGAACTAATAGGACAGGAGGGAGTAAAGGATGGGACAGTAAATCCCAAAACAATCCCATCACTAGGTGTGATGACGCAGCTTGATTGTCTTTCGGATTTCCACAGGACACATGGGGCAAGGGGGCTACACAGTCTACCTGTGGGCAGTGGCGTCTGGTAGAAAGGGAGGGAATTACCGTAGGAAGGAAAAACCATCCAACCTGTTAATGTCCTCTTCCACCAGCAAGTGCTTGGGCAGGGGGGAATATCGACCGGGGGAGATGGGCGGAAGACTGGACTTATATTCCAGAGTGCCATTATTACCGGGGGAAGAGATATGATTTTCCATAGCGGGTGAGAATGCTGTAGAGAGACAAAGAGAGAGTTTACATTACACACATTGGCTAATCATAATGCTGACTTTAAAAAAAAATCTAATTTCTAAGCACAATTCATTATTCTCTAGTGTTATTCTGGTTTAAGAAAGCATATGTATTACATAATGAAGAGTAAATGTGGTAAGAATCACTCACAGTGTGTGATATCAGGCGGCCCATAGGGGTCTGAGAGATAGACACTAGAGGGTTTCCCAACCTTTAGGTATACCACATCTGACGTGTTCTTCAATATGGCCACTGCTTCTTCATGGGTCACCTCTTCTAGAGTGTAGTTATTCACCTGGGCGAAAGAGAAAACAAGCGAGATGTGTCAAGCGGGCAATCCAGAGTTACGTAAACAGTTATGCTCTAGTGGTCAATGGTGAATCAGAGCTGCCAAATGTGTCCTGCCCAGTGGATTACACACAGCACTGATCTTGCTAATTAAATCAAACTCAGTCTTAAAGCGTTTAACAACCCCCCTGGATTAAAAGCAATGGCGTTTGACACTGACACTCGAGCGATACTTCAGGAATGTAATCAGCCAACTATAGATGCAGCTCATTTCCCAAAGATCTCTGGGGGCAACTTCTATGCATTTGGACAGTGATTTTTGCTGTTTTTGTTTTGTATGAAACAAAATTTGCCCCAAACTCACGCCACTGGTTGAGCCAATTCGAGCTGCTTAAACACATTTTTGGGGGAAATAAACAGCAAAATGTCTGTAATAAAAACTACAACAAACTTAAAGTGCCCCTATTATGCCTTTTCGAATACTACCTTTCATGCAGTGTGTCATGTAGCTGTATGTGAACATAAACTATCTGCAAAGTTGTGAAGCTGTCAGTGCACCATAAATAAAGTTATTGTCTATCAAAAAAAAAGAATCGGCTCGCAATTGCCTAAACGAGTCGTCAGGAATTCGAATCTTATTCTGTTACGGCTCTACGTCACGAAGTAACACATTTGCATAATGTCCGCCCACGTTCTACGTCGCCAACTTGCCCGCCCACAAACACAGTAAAATTGTGGTTAACATCATGTCAAGACGACGCTGTATCCTACGCTGTGAGAGTAAATTTTTTTTTTCATATCTTATAATTACCACAAACTTGTTAACACTTGTACCACTGAGAAACGGGCAATGTAGACCAATCCAGAGCCAATCTCTCTACGGCTCTGGACCAATCACAAAGGACTGCACCATCTGACCAATCACAGCAGTGAGGGCTCACGGAAAGGAGGGGTTTAGAGAGACTGATTCTTTGAACTGCTTCGCACGAGTCGTTTACAAATAATTTAGAACTGAGGTCAAATTAAATCTATTTTTTGAGAAAACTAACATGTTTTTTGACCTTGCATGCATGTAAACCTGTTTTAGGAGACTCATAAAACAATATTAGCAACCTTAAAAATGGCATAATAGGGGCACTTTAAAGACTTAAGTAAATTAAAATACTGAAACTAAAATAAATAAATAAATAAGAGAAAACTAAAACAAACCGAAAAAAAAAAGAAAAATAAAAGTAAAATAAAATAGGTTAATGAGCCATACCATAAGCAGTCTGTCTCCAACATGTAACCGTCCGTCCTTCTGCGCAGCTCCCCCATCAATGATTTTAGTGACATAAATGCTGTTATCACCTGGTATGTGCTGGTTTCCCACACCACCTGCAATACTGAAGCCGAGCCCTATGGGATTTTGAGAAAGGACAAATCAAAAGTGTTAGCTACATCCCCATAGATGCAGTGACAACAGACTACCTCTAATTTATCAAACCTATGTCTTTCCCTCACACAGAAGCAATGCTGAATCTTTCAGAAGTTAACTCACTACTAGTAAAAAACAGTACTCAAAACTCTCTCAGAGCAGAAAGTACACACTTTCCTCAAGCATAATCTAGTTCCTCAGTTTCCTAGAGGAGAAAACAAGTGTTATACTGTAGAGTGTGTTAATGTTTTTTTGGATTTGAGGAGTCTGGGGTGCCTGAAGCTCTTCCTCCATATTTGTGCAAGTGCTGCTGTATGTGTATGTGTGATGCATCATCCTCTATGTGCTCTGAATAATGCATCAAAGCAGTCTCTTTCTCAGGATATAGTTCTGTTTATTGCTCCGCCCAAACAACAACCAACAAAAGAGGACGTGATAACTCTCAGGCTCAGTGGAGTTTCAAATCTTGATTTGTTTCCATTTATCTTCGCAACCTAGATATGAATGTGTACATGAGTAATAGCCTATTTTCTTTTATAACAGCAGAAATCAGAAAAAAAAATATTGGATGCAAACTAGGAATGTGCAAAACTATGAACAAACAAAACTAAAGTCAAAATGACTTTTTTTCGCAGAGCAGCCAACCACCGTGACACATTCCTAACGCAAACGGTGACAAACAGCTCAGGTAACAGATGGGTTTTACGGTAATTGTAAATCTGAAACCTTTTGGTCCTTTTATGAGTTTGATTTCGGTGACGGTTTCCAGCATTGGTCTCCTCCTGCGCACATAGAGCCTCACAATCGATCCGGCCGCTTTCAGAGCCTCCACCGCCTTACTGTGAGACACCTCCGAGACATCTGAGTCGTTTACACGCAAAATACAGTCATTCACTCTGTGGAGAGAAATAAGAGTGAGGAGTGAGTTTTCTGGAGCCCGCAGTGCGTGGTGAGCCTCCTGCAGAGAGTTCCAGATCACGGCAGTCTGTGGTCCAAGGACAGCCGCCTCCTGGGGCATGCTCGCATAGAGCAGCTGAGACCCAGCAAACAAGCACACACACCCAACCAAGCCATGAACACACACACGCATATATGCAATGTATACACAACTGATTCAAAGTGTTCAACAACTCAATTTAGACAGTTTAACATGATACCTATGGCAACCTATGGTGGAGATATAGAAAAATATAAAAAAGAATATATATTAATTATAATAAATAATAAATAATTAATAAAATATTAATGATATTAAAATAAATACATATTGATATAATTGTTGTTATTGTGTTGTTATTAACTAAAACTATAAAAATTGCTTTAGGAAATTGAAATAAAGCTTAAATAAATGAATTACTAAATTACAGAAATGTTTCCTTCAAGTCATAAGTATTAAAATTACAAAAACATACAGAAATATAAAAAACACCAAAAACTAATATACATGATAAGTGCATAACAAAATTGCTAAAACTTAAATTAAAATTGAATATTATATAATTACATCTTAATAAAATACTAATAAAAATTATAATAGTATAACACAAACACATATTATCTAATTTGATTGATTTATTTTTCATATTATATTCATTTTATTGTTTAATTATTTATTTTATTATTTTGTATTTTATTATTTACATGTTTCAATCATTTAATCATATACTTAAAAAAAGGGTTCTTTGTTTTAGCTGAGCATAAGCATTCTATAGTTTCCCTATGCATCCCTCTCCTCTAACCATGCCCAGAAATGTCTTATTCCCATCACTGATCCCAGTCCAGCTCTATAAAATCTGATCATACAAGTCCTTTACCCAATATAGAATCCCTGATGCAACTTACTGTTCCTTTGCACCTCCAATCTTTAAAGCCTGCATGATTTATCCAGAGACTGTTCCGCTTCCAACACTCCCAAAGTCAAACAAGGGTAGAGCAGAGAAAAAAACCTTACACAATGTAATTGCTTCTCTAAATGCTGTTCACCTCCAACTCACAATAAATCTATCACAGCGTATTGGCGAACGTTCAAAGTGTCGTACTCTTTTAAAAGACAGAATGCAGAATATGGGGTGGACGGGAAGGGGAATGGAAAGAGAAAGAGAGAGAAAGATGCTTGTGGGTATAAGGCAGAATACTGAACGTTGAAGTGGCGCAACTTGCCCAGAGAGAACAAGCAAGAGGAGGACTGGTGATGCTCCAAGCCCTGACAGACCTGATTGAGAACGAGAGGATAAAAGAAAACAGCCAAGTCATGGAGCAGAGCAGGGCGAAAGGCTCAGATGGGGCTGCCACATGCAGCTGCTGTTCGGAGCGCCGCACACACATGCATACAAAACACGGGAAGATCTGCTATCTCTCCAGCACAATCTAATTATGCTTCCCTCTAATAAAACAACCCTCTCAATCAACTCCTATCGGCCCTGTCATGAATTTCAAATACATCCAGCCAGGAATAGAAACTCTACAGCGCACCAATATCAATTAAACCTTCAACCTCTTCAGAAACATGCAGAGGGACATCTTATTGCTCAAAGAATGCTCTTTCATAGATCAGGAGACATAATTGAGTTCTGTCATATTCAATAATCAACTTTCTCCCAAAATTCCTTGGGAGACATAAAAATAGAAACAACTGAGATAATTGTTGCCATACAGCAAGAGTGTGGAAAGTATCAGATAATTTGGTATTTGTGGAATAAAAAATAGTTACATTCATATTCATCAAAATTTTGATTGCAAACTTAGCTTAAAAAATTTATAATAGAGACAATTGTCAAAATATAAAAATATCTCCATGTATGTTCCACAAAAGAAAAAGTCATACAGGTATGAAACAAATGAGGGTGAGTAAATGATACAATCTAAATGTTTAGGGTGAACTATCCCTTTAATTTCATTGCTTTCATTCACTAATCCTTCAGTAAGGTGTCACAAAAATGTTTCTTTAAAAATAAATTCTCACTAAATCAAGAAAAGAATCTTCGAATCTTGAGTATTTACATAAAATGTATAATGCAAACGTGTTTGTTTTTACCCTGTGGAAGATTGACGTGATCTGAAAGTGATTTGGTCAGGTCTATTCGTTATACCCACACACACACACACACGTCACCTCAGATCTCGCAGATGGTACATTTTTTAAAGTACCTCGCGGTCAGAGTGTGTGGCAGTCAGCAGAAAACTTCAGGTACTTCAGCTCTCCAGAGAGACGTTAGGACTGTGATAAACAGCCCGGTTTCAATCATTTACAGCAGCGAGAGGCAAAAGGGGGAAAGAGAGAAAGAGATTGCTCTACAAAGCCAGAGCAATAAGCGAGATCATTATGTTTTGAAAAAGAAAATTACCTAGTGATCTACTGAATTTATAAGAAACAGTATTATTTCATCTGATAATCCATCAATTCATCAAAATATTTAAAACAATTCATAATCACTTCCATAATGGACATAAAACTAAAAAAAGTCTAAGACCACAATTTTCATTACATACACTCAGAAATAAAGGTTCCAAAAGGGGTTTTTCTGCAGCACTGCCATTTTGGGTTCCCCAAAGAACCTTTCAATAAACAGTTCATAAAATATTTTTTTTTTTTCTTACTGTGAAGAACATTTTAATAGTCTAAAGAACCTTTTTCCACTATAAAGAACTTTTTTGTACAATGGAAAGGTTTTATGGATGTCTTAGGTTCTTCATGTCTAAGTGTGTATTATACTTTTAGCATACAAATTTGAGTGTGTATTTAGAGAATATGTAAAGACAATCTTGCACGTAACACAACAAATGCATGCACACAAGTTTTTTTTACAAAATACTGGCCCACCTGAGTCTGCCATCTTCAGCTGCCGCTCCTCCAGGGATGATCTTTGTGATGAAGATCCCAGGATCATCGCCGATGTGAGGGTTATCTGTACCACCTGCTATACTAAACCCCAACCCTGAGTTACCCTGAGGAGACACACACACACACACACACACACAGAGGAATATATGAAAGATAGATTGGCCCTTTATGAGACCTTTGCCTCAGTGAAAAGAGCCTAAATAACAGAACAACAACAGAATAAACAAAGAGAGAAGCGTAACATTATTTTTGTATGAGGTGCACTTTGCTACCCATGACTCATCAGTGTTTACAGTTTGGCACGGCATGCGCCTCTGAGCAGCGCAAACTCACAAATCAAAACCTGTCACAACCGTGGGCTAGAGCCACATTTAACATCTCTGAGACATAAATAGACCAACAGGCTAATATTTTGAAGTGACGTGTTTATGATGGGGCTCTCCAGGGTTCCGCGTCTGTATAATACACAGGCTTTTATGCTTTAAACAAAGTGGATCGTGAGGAGAATTAACCTTTGCTGATTAGAGATGTTCCCTGGCTACGTTGAGAGATTGGATAGAACAGCAAAGTTACGAAAAGGCAATACCAAAACTATAGCATCAGGGTGGAGAGATGCTTTTAACGTGAAAGAAAGAGAGAGAAATGGGTGACAATAACAGATCAGCCTCTAGCAGCAGAGTTATTGCCTCGGTTTGTATCCAATTTTCTAGCTTGTAATCTCAGTCGAGTCTGCAGAAACCCCTGAATATACACTCTCAGCCTCCTGGCTCCAGGGTCGGACAAATCTGCGCTCCCTCTGGTCTAGTTGACCTTTGCTATTGTCCGTGCTCTGTGTCTAGTCATGTGGATCCGATTGCAGCTGCCAGAATGTCATCTGCAGCCGTCTAATTTTCTCTCTCTCACACTGACTCTACTGTGCACCCCAGGCTTTCACTTGCAAATAAAGCATATACAGTAGCCCAATTACGAGGGTTCTGTGATACGTCAAAATTAAAGCTTCAGTAATACTTTCTAAAGAGTTTGTATATATAATGCATTATAAAAGGTATTATGATATTCTTGGTTTTATAACATATACAATATATATTTTATTAAGTGTTATCATGAATAAATATAATCATATATAATTCAGAGACATTTTAAAAATTAAATATTCATGATTACACTTCAAACATAAGATCAGTACCAAATTTTGTTTAGTTATGTTCAGTTTGTGCTATTGTGTCTTTAAAGGTGCAACCATAATTGATAAATATTAATTAATTATACTTAATTATAATGAAGTATAAAATTATCAATTGTTTATATATATACAGTGCTGGATAATAACTGATTATATGTAATCTGGATTATGTAATCAGCAGATAAAATGCTCATAATCAGATTACAGTTACTTTTTTATGGACCACATGATTACATATTGTTCTGGGCAAAATCATTTCAAACCTGGAAGACTCTGGGTGTGTCATTTTTGTTTCCATGTTTATTAATGTTTGTTCATTTAATGAACATTCCCATGTTTTTGTGAACTCCTTAAAATAAAATAGTTTAGTTAATATTTCAATAATTTAGATTTTTATCAACTCACTGCAGTTTTAAGCCCAGTTTGGGAAACCCTAATGTAATGTTTAATGCATTTTTTGATGTTGATATAAAAAATGGAATATATTTTCTTTCTCTTTGCTTTTATAATATCAACAAGGTACAATAAGTCTAAAACAAGTTCGATTTAAAAAAAAAGTAATCTAAAAGTAATCTAAAATGTAGTCAGAATACATTTCCTAAAATGAGCAACCTAGATTACGTTATTAACTACAGTTTTCATCATATAATCTGTAAACAGTAACAGACTACAAATTGTAAATAATCTACCCAATCTACCCTGAATATATGTGTGTGTGTGTG